TTAATTTATTATTAAGGGAAACTGAGTTAAGACAAGATTTAACGGTTAAATCTTTGTACCTATATCAAAATCTTAATTTACATATTAAAGTTAAAGCTAAAGGTTAAAGTCACGAATTATTATTTTTCATTTTTTAATGATTTAATAGTTGCATTAATATAGTAAAAAAAAATAATTTACAGGATAAATACTAAACAAATCTAAAACATTGTATGAATGTGTAAGAAAACTGAAAAGTTTTTTATTAAGTACCTATTATTGAATTATTCTTATCTTAAAATAGGTAATGTAGGTAATGTTTTTATGAGATAAATCGCTGAAAGAAATAACTCTGAAATTATATAAAATCGATCAGTAAGTCCTTCTTGCCTTTCATTAATTGTTCAATAGAATTATTTAATTTACCATCAAAAATGTTTTATTTTAATATAATAAAACTATATATTGAGATACTTATCCAGCTTATCGGGCTATCCCATATTACATGTCTTGCTCTGTTAGGTATATTCCCTTACCGTTTATATATATTTTTGATTTCAAAAAAAAAAAAAAAAAAAAAAAAATGAAAAAAAAGACAGCTGTCGTTACTTTCCTGATTGTCAGCTCTATAGTGTGTACAAAATAATACCTAATTATTATTATTATTATAGCCAACAGACACTAACTAGGTTGGTACCTATTTAACGAACAAAACAAAGAGTATCTACGCTACATGCAGATACGTCGGCACATGTATATGTCTTGTTTCTACTGAATACAGTTGACATAAGAATCAAAAAAAAATATTATTGTCGTCAATACAATTGTTATACAACAGACTAAACCTAATGTTACTACTGGATCACACGCCACCTCGATTCCGATAACGTTTGTATAATCGCTAATTTCCGGTAAACAGTCCCGGCCGGTCGACGCACACGTTTACATAAAACGCTCATGACGTCATGGTTACATCCTAGGTGTCGCACAAATTAGCAGAATGATCCCCAGCCATAAGATATATACATATAAGTCAAACATACATACTTAGACGTATGCCTACCAGCGAAAATCCCATTTTCATGTTTATGAATAAATACCATACATTTAAGTAGTATATCAATCAAGAAAATAATTTTAAATAAAATGTATTATAATTTATATTACGCATTTTATTTATTAATGTTAATTAATTAATATTTGAAAAATAATATATTAATAACATTTAAAATTTAAAAACACCGTTAGGTTGTATACAGGTAATATATAATATTAAAAGTTATATATAATTTTCTTCTTAAAAGTAAAAATTGTTTACACATATATCTTTAATTTAAAAAAACAATCATTTGAAATAACTAGAATAAACGTTAATTAAATTTTAAAATTTAATACATTTGTAAGTAAAAAAGGTTATATTTTTTTATTAATTTAATCTTTAAAATTTTAAAATTGAAGTAAAAAGATATGTAAATTATAAAAATCGCAAAAAAAAAACACTTTTAATATAAAATGTATATAAAAAAGTATTAGTACCTATAGATATATCTCAAATGAAAATAGTTATTTACTTCTATTTGGCTAAAAGTTAATAGTATTTTATAGTCAAAGTAATAACATAAAAAAAAAAGAATACTTATAATTTAAAACATAATATAAAAAAAATCAATACTTACTACCTAGAACACAATAATAATTAAAGAATTATTAAACTTATTAATATAATAATTAAATTAATTAAAAAAAAAAAAAAAAAAAAATGTATAATAATAATAAATTAACGTTTAAAATCACATCTAAATCAGCTTATCGAGCGTTATATTTCATAAGATTTATTTCTCATAATCTTATTTTGTAGGTATGTAGCTTTTCAGTAATTTAATGGCCTTTTCTGTATCATCTAAATGGAATACTTTCGTTAGTATGTAATTGATTTATGCAAATAATTTTAAAACTTACAAACTGAAAATTGTTTTTCCCAGTCTTTCGTATCATCTGTATCATCCACATTAAAAAACTTTATTATTTCAGTCAATAATACTCGCCAAATCATAGCCACATATTCGTTCATTACATCGTCGACCATGTCAATTTCATTGGATATGGGGAACTGTAAAATTTCTATTAGGAAGGGAATTATGACTTTCGCAAATTGATATCGATTAATATCTTTTTTTTTGAGATGCTGAAATTAAAACAATCATATTTATTTATTTTTAATTGAAAATAATAGATGAGTTATTTATAATATTTTAAGTTACCAATAAAATGGCAAGCAACGTTACTGGCCGTTCTTTAATTTTTTTGAGTAAGCAACACATGTCTAGTTGAAATATTAATGAAACTGTTTTTTTAATTTTCGATCTCGTGATCAATTTTTGAATGTTTGTCGGATTAATATTTTGTATTTCAAAGAAATTGAGAGTTTTAAAAAAACCAATTAAGTTCTTTCATATTCTGGGTATTGAGCCATCGGTAAATTTTGTTTTCCATATTCTCAGCAACGATTGTTTTATTCGGTAAATTGTCATAATCATATGTCGTTTCAAAAAGTAAATCTGAAAAAATTAAGCAATAAATAAAAAGCGAATTTAATTGACATTGCTTTTATTTTTAATTAAATAAAGAAAATTTGACCAAATATGTATGTAGTTTTATCAATTGGATTAACTACAATCACAGTTTGCCAAATTAATTTTACTTAGCAAAACATGTAGGTACCTACATACTATATCGAGTTCTACAAACGCAATCAATACTTATAATAATTTACTAGCTTCAAATAATTTAAAAATAAATATTATACACAATATAATATTTATTAATACTAATAATAATTACATTTTCATATGTATAACTGTGATCTTAATTTTTAAGTAAATCTAAATCAAGGCCGTAATTTGAATGGTGTAAAACATTATGTACCTAAGTATTTTACATAACATATTATGTTTTGTGAGTCATAATATTGTTTTGTGATAAAATATGTAGTAAATCAAGAAGAGATGTACTATGAAGGTGTAGGACAGACATGCCCCCCTTGACTTCTCCCTCCCAAAAAAGTGCCCACAATTATATGGTAATAATTTTAAATGGCCTGCGAAAATGTTAGCATCAATAATAAAAAAAAATCTGAATCGATGCTTGTGGCCTAGACTTTAAAACAAATAGTCTAAGCTTACAATTACCGTATCATAACGATTTATGCGAGGACAAAATTATATTAATATTATATATATACCAATGCCAATTTACACGTGTTTATAGTAAAATAATTATAAAACATTATAGTTTACAAGCATACATTTTATAAAAATATTTGCATAAATTAAAAACATTGCTAAAAAATATGAAAGTTAAAAATTAAATTGAAACTGTACAGAAATATTTTTGACTATCCCTCTCAAAAATGAGAAAATTCTACTTTGTTCATAATTTTTAACTATTTTTAAAATCTTTTTATCGACATCAAAATATTTTTTTACATATAATCCCTAATATCATCATAAAACTATAATTTTATTTTATTGTTATAGATACATGTAAAAGTAAAGGAATTTAATTAATATAATTTTGCCTTCGCATACAAATGTATACGCGCGTCCAAATGGTCGCGTCTAATGACTTTGTGTCCAAATAGCCGCGTCAATTTGTCCTAGATCGCATAGGTTTTTTCAACACAATTTTCTCAAATTGTGTCCGACGTAACAAATACATAATAACATTTTATTTGAAATCAAGAGTTTGATTTAATTTATAAATTCATACAAAACACAGTTATTATGTTTAAATTAAAACCAAGTTTATATGGTAAAATTTCTTCTTGGTCTTTTGGATCGTTCTGTACAACAAATACAAATAATTTTTTCTATAAAAGGTATTAAATTATCGATTGACACATGTGTAAAATGAAAACATACACGTATACTAATGAATAATAATTTATACAAATTTACTAATGAATACCTATTTTCAAAAAATTGATTTTAAGTGTATTCTACGAAGAATTTAAACTATATAGATTCTAATGCTCAGTTTATTTACACTATGATAAGTTTGTTAAACTGAAGATAATAGAAAATCTGTTGCATAAACCATGTTTTAAATTTTATTTGTTATTAAAAATTTACTTTATCATTAGTTAAATTGGAGGTTGATTTATCATCGTGAAAATTTTATGTATGATTAAATTTTGTTATCAATGTTTTGTGATCATTATCTAATATCATATACAAACACACAATCAGTTTATCATCAATAAGACCTTATGATATGATAATTAATAATAATATCAACTTGTATTGCAGGTAATATTTATTTATAACCAGTTTATAGGTAATAACCTGAATATAAAACAATAATTGAGCTATATTCTTAAATTTGACACATGTTAATTAAACAAACGTTGTTTATTATTAGATTCAAATTTAACAGTAGAAAAAATAATTTACCAATAAATAACTACAACTTACAAGTTGTAAGTACAACCGAGCATAAGTAAGCAATATTTTTAGACGGTGACAAATCTTGAAAAGTTTGTAATATTTCAATAGAAATAGAAAATAAAACATTTATTATTGAAAAGTTTTAAATTTGGTCAATAAAGATGAGTAACGCTATACGGTTATAGGTGAAAATATTAAAATTGTATAGAAAAAAATCTGTAGGTATTTATACTCGTAATTAACTAGTAACTACCTACCTGTTTTTGATAAAATACACAAAGGTCATAGATATTATAACTAACTTCATACACGGGGAATCAAATACTGGTAAAAAAGTAAAAAGTATCAAATTTAGGTTTCTATATAATATTTTATGTATGTTATAGTACCTAGTGTATTTCATACTTACTATTAACTCTGTACTGGCGAGACATGTTCACTAACATAAACTTTTCATTCAAAGTCGCATCGAGCAAATCTTCATAATTCAACATTGGGCAGATGCACTTGATATCACCAGATGATCGGACGTCAACGACTTCTAACTTGCTAAAGTATCCCCACGCCACCTGTAGTTCATTTTTGATATGTTTCTCTAGGGCATCTTTTTTTTTCGATGCCATGTAAGTATAACGGCAGCAAATCCACCACAGGATAAGAGTGGCTTTTCTTGACACATAATTTGGATTCTGTTTCTTTCGAATCAGACGACTCCGGATCAACGTTCAGCAGCGGCTGATTGTTAGCAGATGGGGCGACGGGTGGCAACAAGGCCTTTTTATCTACGCTTTTGATGGTGGATGGTTGCGATGGATTCTGCAAGTTGACGGTGGTGGACGATGGCAACGATTTATGCAATTGGGCGACCAAAACCGACCAAATATTTTGCATCGAAACTTGTACTACGGAGCCTATTTCTGTAGGCCAGACATTGCGTCTCGGTTTGCACACAGTCAACGGATATAAGTTTTTTGTGGACGACTGTGGCATAACCGTATAGTACTTTTTCAATTTAGGCTTTTGGTAGTGTGTTGACCGTGGAAACGTGAAATGTGAGTAAGTCATTTCAGCTCTGTAACGTTCGTACCGCGGAGTCAAGCGCACTGAGGAAGACGTCAAAGTTATGGTTGACGTAGATGACTGGGTCGTTTGTGACTGTGAGGATGGCTGAGACTTGTTGATTGGCGCAGAAGATTGGGAGCTACCAGATGGCTTAGAACATGAGAGAGAACGGGATGGTGTGGAAGTTTGAAACGTGTTAATAGTGTTAGAAGTTTGAGACGTGTTGATAGTGTTGGAAGTTTGAGACGTGTTGATAGTGTTAGAAGTTTGAGACGTGTTGGTTAGCGAAGAAGGCTGAGATGTATGCAATTCCGTAGAAGACGGGATGCTTTCGTTTGGTAAGGGATATCTTGGCTTATAGAATGGTGTAGAAGATTGAGACCTTTTAGAATGCATAGAGATTTGAGACGTGTTGGACGTTTTGGAAGTCCTAGACAAAATAGCCAATGAAGACTGAGATGTATGCAATTCCGTAGAAGACGGGGTGATTTCGTTTGGTAAGGGATATCTTGGCTTATAGAATGGTGTGGAAGACTGAGACTTTTTAGAATGTATAGAGATTTGAGACGTGTTGGACGTTTTGGAAGTCTGAGACCTTAAAGAAGATGAGAAAGTCTGAGACACGATGGTCCGCGATGAAGACTGTAACGAATAAAATGGCACGGAAGTTGGAGTACTTTTGATTGGTGTAGGATAATTTGATCTACAGGATGGCGCAGAAGACTGTGATCTTATAGAAATCATGGCAGTTTGAGACATATTGGACGTGTTGAAAGATTGTGATGTATAAGTAAGCGAAGGAGAGCGGTACGTATAAGACAGTGAGGAGGGCTGTGTAGTATAGCGCGGACTGGGATATGGATACCTATAGGGTGGTATGGGACGCTGAGACGTTTTAGTATATTTAGAAGTTTGAAATCTGTTAGATGGTTCAACATACCGTGGCGGAGCAGTATATGGTGGAAGAGAAGACCTCGGCCTCGGGGGAGGTATTGGTGCCTTGGGCTTGTTAGCCGTGGATACAGTACGGGATGATGATGCAGATGGGAACATCCATAGCGCAGGCACATACAACGTCGAAGCCAGGGATGTACTATTTGCTGGTGTGCTGTTGTTCATCTGCGTTGTCGTATCACTTTTGGATGTCCCGGTCGCGTTGCGTTGGCTTGTATCGCTTTTCGATGTCGCGGTCGTGTTGCGTTGGTTCGTACCACTGGTCGATGGCGTGGTCGTGTTGCACTGGCTCGTACCACTGGTCGATGGCGTGGTCGTGTCGCGCTGGCTCGTACCACTGGTCGATGGCGTGGTAGTGTTGCACTGGCTCGTACCACTGGTCGATGGCGTGGTCGTGTTGCGTTGACTCGTACCACTGGTCGATGGCGTGGTCGTGCCGCGGATCACGGGTACGATTATATCAAGTGCAGTCGTTCCGTGCTTCATTCTAACGGATTTGTTGGAGGGAGCCATGCGATTCATTAGAGTGCGGTTCGCCGAAGAGTGGACCACTGCGTGGTTCCGCGACGGGAGCTTGTACTGTACCGGAAAATTGATGGATGACAAAGACTCGGGCTCGGAATCGCTGTAAAATGATTTGGTCGTATCGGAATCATCGTCGTCGGTCGACGAGGAAATGTGTATTTTCTGCAATTTATCCTCGACGGTTAGGTTCGATGAATTCGACGACGAGGGCGTTGGATTGTCGTTATCCATCGCGACGGTAGTTTTCGGCGAATAGAACGATCGGCGGCGAAGACGGAATTAAAGACGTTAACCATACGTGTCGGACTCTGTACGCGAAGTGTCTTGACGTCGGTCCCGTGGTAGCAGCGTAGCTCGCCAGTGGCCGAGATGGTCACTCCCACCACGATTTCGACTATCCCCGATCGGCGGGGTTGTCCGAACCGGTACGGCAGCAGTCGAAAATCCTGTTTACTAGCGCTTATTTGAACTACGGGCTAGCTACACTGGCGCTGCGGGTGCAATGGGCGGGTGTTGAAGGACGATATGAATTGTGTTTGGTGGGATAGTACCTTACACCTTATATTAGCTCGTCGAAAATACAATACATTATATATATATATATTAATATACCATGTTTGCATTAATAGAACGAAAAGGTTACAAAGTACTATAATTATCATCCTACTTTTATGATTTATGATTAAGAGGTATATTATATGCAAATATTTATACGATATACACAACACATACGTTTTTATGTGTATTTTCTTAAATTTGTTTATTTGGTATTCATTATTCCAATGGTACGGTTGTTGTACAATTATATAATTACTACTGTTAATACTTACATGCTGTTACCATTTAATTTAATTACCTAAGACTTTAAACTTTTTTTTTTTTTAATTATCCAACATTATAATTAAAACCATACTTGCGTATTCATGGAAATGTAGCTGTAACGAATTTATACGAAATGTTAAAATTATAATTTTTATACCACAACTTTTCATTACATCACTCAAAATTAAACACGTGTAGCTTACCGACCAAAAAAATATACATAGTTAAATGAAAAAAATAAATAAATATACGTTAGCCATTAACTATAAAAATCAACCTAATTATTTTATAAAATTAATGAATATCGATAGAATTATGCTTCAATAATATAAAGTTAGACATAACTACTAATCGGAACATAATTCATATGAGCGTTAAAATAAACACCAAACATAATATTTTGTGTTTTTAGAAGTCATTAAAAAACTTTAAAAATATAATTTTAATACGATGTACACTATCTTTGGTTTGTCAAATACAGTGATGTGTGTAACTAGAAATGAAAGTTGAATCGTATTTCACTCGTAAATCGTATCTTTTCCGGTGATACGATAAGAATACTCGAAACAAGATCAGAGTTCACCATGATGTATATGTAAAGTAGACTTTTACTGCATTTTTTTTATCTCCGTTCCATAAAAATCAAATAAGGTGATTTGTAAATTTATTTTGTCAGACAAAAAACAAACATGAATACGTGAGCTAAATCCATCGTTATGTATGTTTTTAGGTTGTTATTTTTTAGGTATAATTGATGTATAATGTGTTATTAAAAAAAACTCAGAAAATGTATCTATATAATCGTGCAAATTAATGAACCATAGGTATATCGTATATATATATATATACCCTGCCGTCTTCGGTCTTAGAGATAATGATGTCGATCATAAATTATTCTATTTTGAAAAAAATCGTTCCTTTTAATTGAACGGCTATTTTGATTTTCGAAACACAAATGCACATTTTTGTTGGCTCTTTATTCTGGGATTTAATTTTGCGATTATAACCATTTTTCACGTGGTGTCCGAGTTTAATTTGATATATTATGTATCAAATCTACTATATGTATCTACTCCGTAAAGGGACTAACACGTTGCAAACAGATGTGGCGATTCATATGGCCACAGCAGTCTTATTGTTCTGTGTGGCACAGCGTGTTAGCGTATATAGTTCGAAAACAAATAATCGGATGTAGAGACTGTCTATTCAATAAACTAAGAGTTAAAAAAAAAATAGGTCAGTTCCATTGAATATTTTAGTTATATTATATTAAATTAGACACATTTAAGCCCATAGGAGTTGTCAATCCTGCGGAAAACGTGTCTTCCAATACATTCGACATGTGGTACACATTAGCTATGGCGCCTTTATACTTGAAATTTTTGTTAAAAAACGCGCGTTTCATAAACATTATTATTGTTGTCATTTTGTATCCTCCATACACATAATATTACAGTCAATCCAATTGTATAAAATATGCATCCCGGCTATCCTGCGCTCATTGTATTGAGCACATCATATATTATATTATATTGTTATCGTTTTATGAGACCCTCGTGGGATCTATACAAGCAATGTATGGTACTCGTTTATACATTTATAAAAGATTTGCTTCTCACAATGGCATATATGTGTGTGTGTGTGTGTGTGTGTGTGTGTGTGTGTGTGTGCGCGCGCGCGCGCGCGCTTGGGGTAGTTCTTTTGTAACTCGGGCGACAACTATTATCCACTGATGTACGCAAAAACCATTATTCGTTAGTCAATACCTACATATATTTTCAGTAATTTTTTTTCAAACACTTCTTTTAAATAAAAGTCGTACCCATACATTACAATAACCGTGTAACACAACGATTTTTTTTACCGTCGAACCGTGATCACCAACAGATATTTTGGAAAATCAGTGTGTTGCTGTAATACTATTATATTATGCTATATTATTATTATTTTATTACGATGTCCACAGGTATTGTGACGTGCTGGACAAAAACAATCACTCTGTATGCACGCGACCGTCGTCGGCACGTCCATACACAGGAGATATCGTACCAATGGTCGATCGCATCTAAACCAAACAAAATCACTGCGAGTTTATTTTATTTCTTTCCCGTGTACAAATAAATGGTAAATAAACGCGCGCCTGCGTTTCGTTAAACACGAATTAATAATACTGAGTCGGCGGTCAGGTGTCAGCCGATGTAGGACCCACGTTAAAAAGGTATCTACCTATATAATAATAATACATTATGTTCCCATATAATAAATTACTTACCTGGGCTACCCTATGTCCTTACCTTACACGACTGCCCGTTGTTATTTTACGGATTGCAAACGTTGGAAGCCGAGAACGCTTCTTTTATTCAGAAGGTATGAACAATTTCAGTTTTTATAAATACGCAGTACAATACTCGAGTTTAGTAAGAACATTATATAAATTATATTGTCAAACATTTTTTCAAACACACGTGATAGTATTTCGAATAACTTATGTCAATAACGAGGTTAATAATTCATAATGATAACACATTATGATTGAGTTAAAATATATTGACTGCGGTCTATGTGTACAATCCTCAATTTATAATGTACGAGTATCTGAGTACATATTATGAGTATTTGAGCTCAAGGCCGTACCTAAAGAGTAAAGAGGTGATCCAGGAGTCCCCGAAATTGTCTAAATGACTTAAAATGTGTAAAATAACTGTTTATTTGTAATACCAATATTATAGCAAAAATTACAATTTATTTATTTAATTGACTATTAACTATTTTGTATCATATTATCATATAAAAATATTATTTTAGCGTCTATTACCTACTAGATTGTTCTTGATCGACAACGACCGCTCTCGATGCTAGTCAACATCTCAAATTCTCAACAGTCGATGATGAATAATAAAAATAATATTATATTATTTGTGTACATTTAAAATATTATTATAATTATATACCGTTGTCTACTAGACAAACAAACTCGTCGAATTGTTTTATTAAATTCGTCATAATGAGTAAACAAGATAACAAAAATGCGCTATCAAATGCAATAATTTTTCTAAACTTCCAAAGGTACATTTTATTATTTTATATTCTTTGTGTAAATAACTCATATATTACACATTATATTAATAATTTAACATTGTTTTAATTCATATATGCAATTATTAACCAAATGTCAAAACTTAAATTCAGTAAATATACAATATACATTATACGGGTTTTGAACCACCCCCGAAAAATTTTTTTGATACGATCTAGCTTAAACTTAATACATTATTTTATCTGATCATCATTTTGTTTTATTGAATGTGTACATATGTATAAATATAATTTATATATCATATTATAATATTATTATTGGATTATGGATAGCCGATAGGTACCTAATGAATCGATAATAGCAAATATAGTATAAACAGTATCTTTCTATAACTATTCAGCTGATAATATACATATTTAAATCAACTGAAAATTATTTTTTCATATATAAAATTACAATAATGCAGTTCATAGAATGCTTTATAATCTACATTATTTTTAACGCCTTTACAAGGTTATCAATTATATTAAAATATTGCTTATATGTATAAAATATTATTATATCAATATTCCAGATAACATTTGAGTGGACTAAGAACAATAAAAAAAAAAAAAAACAAAAAAAACAAAAAAAAACCAGTTGGTTCTTAAAAACGAAAATTTGTTATGTTTTATGTATGTAATAAGGAGATAACACATGCGGGTATAGTGGCATTATCTTCAACATGAAAAGTCTAATTGATTTATTCGTTGTATACATGGTAAATACTTAAAAATAAAAGATATCAGATATTTAACAACTTTTTTTCGTTTGAATTAATTATCAATTGATTAAAAATCATCAGATTAAATACTAAATGGATTATGTTGAGTATTGGGTATTTAAAATGAATAAAAGAAAGCTTTTTTAGAAAGCTATTTTTTAAATATGTAGGTACTTTTATGTTTTAGGGCTTTACATCAGATCGCGCACTTGGTCTTAATTTAAATTAATCAGGCATTGTGTAATGTGTATCTATACCTACATACAATAAACGTGCACAAGACCTCACGTGTTCACGTGGAATATTGCATGTACTATGTATATGGACCGTTCACGTTGCTAAATATTTAGTGTCCTGAGAATAATACGAAGCCACACTATGATCAATTGATTTGATATATTATATAATGCGTTTGTTTTAGTTAATAGTTAAAACATCAATTGCATTTATAATTTTGTTATGCACAATATTTGAACATCTATTGAAATAAAATATACATTTGATAAAAATTAACATATCAATATCGATAAATTTAATTATTATTGTAAAAATGATTTAAAAAGTTAAGAATATTATGTTAAATATATGTATAAATTACTTCGTACACAA